AATAATGTCGTAAGCAATGATTTATAAACATAGTAAAGTGATTTATTTTGTGGGGTAACATACCACATAGGTTATTCAGTAATGACATACATTATACTAACATAATAATAATGTCGTAAGCAATGATTTATAAACATAGTAAAGTGATTTATTTTGTGGGGTAACATACCACATAGGTTATTCAGTAATGACGTACATTATACTAACATAATAATAATGTCGTAAGCATTGATTTATAAACATAATAGTGATTTATTTTGTGGGGTAACATACCACATAGGTTATTCAATAATGACGTACATTATACTAACATAATAATAATGTCGTAAGCAATGATTTATAAACATAGTAAAGTGATTTATTTTGTGGGGTAACATACCACATAGGTTATTCAGTAATGACATACATTATACTAACATAATAATAATGTCGTAAGCAATGATTTATAAACATAGTAAAGTGATTTATTTTGTGGGGTAACATACCACATAGGTTATTCAGTAATGACGTACATTATACTAACATGATAATAATGTCGCAAGCAATGATTTATAAACATAGTATAAACATAATAATGTACACAGATGTTTTTGTTGCTGTAGCTAATAATGTATTCAGATATTTTTGTTGTTGTAGCTAATAATGTATTCAGATATTTTTGTTGTTGTAGCCAATAATGTATACAGATATTTTTGTTGTTGTAGCCAATAATGTATACAGATATTTTTGTTGTTGTAGCCAATAATGTATACAGATATTTTTGTTGTTGTAGCCAATAATGTATACAGATATTTTTGTTGTTGTAGCTAATAATGTATTCAGATATTTTTGTTGTTGTAGCTAATAATGTATTCAGATATTTTTGTTGTTGTAGCCAATAATGTATACAGATATTTTTGTTGTTGTAGCCAATAATGTATTCAGATATTTTTGTTGTTGTAGCTAATAATGTATTCAGATATTTTTGTTGTTGTAGCCAATAATGTATACAGATATTTTTGTTGTTGTAGCCAATAATGTATACAGATATTTTTGTTGCTGTAGCTAATAATGTATTCAGATATTTTTGTTGTTGTAGCTAATAATGTATTCAGATATTTTTGTTGTTGTAGCTAATAATGTATTCAGATATTTTTGTTGTTGTAGCTAATAATGTATTCAGATATTTTTGTTGTTGTTTCATAGAACATTGTGACATTCATTGCTTGAATTTTATATATTTTTTATATGACACTGACTATTGTTAAACAATATACACGTTAAACAACGTACCAATACACACGTTAAACAATGTACCAATACACATGTTAAACAATGTACCGATACAGATGTTAAACGATGCCAAAATTATCATACAAGATATCAAAATTAAGTACAAATAAAAAATTTATTTTTAAGACATTTTTAGGACTTTTGAGAACAAGAATACCCCCCCCCCTCAAATAATGAAATTCTAGTTACTTCACACGATAACTTAGAAATAAATATTGTTTGGTACTGTTTAAAAAAAATGTTGCAAAACTACAACACAAACTACTAACTATAAATTAATTTCACATGCATGGACCCAGCATAGCAGCTATGAAGCATTTCTATACATGCTATATTTCTACAATTTTCTACAGTGGACCACTGGTAATTTCTTGAAGTTTAGGTGGGCCATGTTACTAAACAGGTTGAGAATTGCTGATGTATACACCAAACTATACACTTTCATTACATTATCAGAAAGTTAACAATATATATATATATATATATATATATATATATACACACATAC